TATCAGGCGCCATTTCGCGATTATTCTTGCTATTATACAGGGCAGACTGGGCTATGACTAAGGTCATGAATAACGGAGCACAAACGGGCAGTGCGGAGAGGTGATCCACTGTTCCAGATCGCTACCTATACTCTGGAAGAAGACCACGAATTCGACTTCTCGGGCACACGGATAATGGCACGCGCCGCTAACAAGACGGGGCGAGAACTACTGGAAGCCTGGTTATCAGACTCCAACCCTAACAACTGGCATGTGGATATACCGCCCTGTTATTTTGCCATCCGTGCTCGCGATCAGAAACCACGATCCAGTTCCTGTCAAAGCACGCAGGCTGCCACGTCAAGGTAATACGACATAACTCCAGGGACGCGCGCAGGGGAGACACGATAAGATAGTGCGAGCATGGACGTGGCGTGGGCATGGACCAATCAAAAGGTCCACCACCTCCTACTCCCATTTACGCGTAGCCAACTTTTGCTGCTTTCCCATTTTCTCTGATGAGGTCTTCTCGTGTGATGCCGAAAGCTCAGAAGAATAACATAGCCGTTCCACAGATCGCGTTTTCTTCTTCTTTACAATTATAAGTATAAAATGAGCTTCAAATTCTTCTGGCTTTAAGGTGAATGAACAAGTCTACATTTCACTTTGCACCGACCTTCCTTAGCCAGATATGCAACCATTTAAATACCATATTCGTACGGCAAAATTGTTGACCTGAATTTTAGTAACGGTGATCTTTTCACGAAACAGCTAGGCCCAGGAAACTGCATCTACCATTTTTCTGTCAGTATGGATAAACTCAACTCCGAAGGCATTTGACATGGCCCAGTTTTGAGCTTTTCAAGGTACCTAGGCGGTTTGTTTCCATAGGGAACGCATAAGGAATCTAGAAAAAACTTAAATTTTCCAAAGGCTCATGTTTTGACAGAAGAGCTTAGCAATATTTTTTACATTGCCAAGGAATTGGTATAGACAATTGCAATAAATTTAGGCCAACGGTTTTGTTGAGGTTTATTGGAGCTGGAGCATTGTGACGGTCAGATAACTTGAAGATCCCGGAGTACCCTATTAAATATCCAGTTAATAGAAGAGAATTATGAACGCAAAACTTTGTTGAATGTTGGAGGGGACTTCCAAAGACTACGCATAGTTATTTTACGAAAGAAGTTGCATCTAGTCGACCATGTTACGCGTAACACTTTATCAATTGTAACACAATAGGTGCAGTTGCACTTCCTATAGAATACCATATGAAGCATCCAGTAGTTTACATTTGCGTTGAAGAGAGAGTTCTTTTTTCTTAGAAGTGTAACAGCAGTGTTGCGCAAATAGGGCTCAAATTGTTCAACCTCATTTTCTGCCGACAGCACTTGTTCACCTCTCGATGGGATCTCTTCGGCCCAAAATTCAGCTAATCCTTGACAGAGTGTAGGACTGAGCTCCAGAACTTAGCCAACCCATCAACGTAGACTACATTCTATTGATCATCCGCTAAACTTATATGCTGTATCGTCATCTGATTTCGCCGCCGAGATGAAATATCACGTGCCCAATATCAATCATTTATTTTTCACCTTTGCGCAAGTGAAGAGAATTTGGACCATCCTTTTCGAAAATCAAAACGGCCTAAACATGCTCATATTGACGTAGAAGCTCACAGAATGCACGCTTAGAGATTGTGAGAGCGGAATTCATTGGCTTCGAAAAAGGAGTAACTCACTTAAGCTCATAATCCTGAAGAGCCCTCTCTTTTGGGTAAGTTAACTAATATAACTAACTGACAAAGATGAGAAGTGCTGGAATATCCATTTCTGGCTCTTAAATTGTCATCAGCCAGCCACAGCCATCCCCAGAGTGTGCAGCCCTTGAGGCTTGAACCACAATCTAGGCGTCGGAAGTTCAACATCCTACTCATTGGGCCATAGGCGTGTTGTCCTATCGATCTCCTTTGGGTATATTACGGATGGTAAATGGGTGTTTGTCAATCGCGTTAGGAGACATGTCTGTCCCGTTGCGCCCTGAGGCTCGCTCCTTGTACTATGAAGTATTGTTTATGATAATACTATGTCTAGTGCGAAAAACACTAAATTATTAGAAGAAAAGGAGGGAGGAAGTGTCAAATCGTCTTCCACTCCTTATGCCACTATGCGTGCTGCCAAGTTTACTCTAACGCCTGTTTACCTATACGGCATAATTATAGGGGGGAGAGTGCATATTCGGACTGCCCTACAGTTCGGATCAGGTTTCCCACATGTGATCACACGACGGGCGTTTTTTACTCGGGCTTTGGAGGGGAGAGTAACAGGCTCTAGCCAAAACCGGGCATATTTTTGCGTACTAATTCGCATGCCTGTAGTTTTTCTGAAGCTGCGGTCACTGTCTGTAATTTCTGCGTCGTAGTCTCACTTAGGTGCAGGCTCACGCCACATAAGCCACTTGCGCTCTATCCCGCCTCCGGTCTTCTTGACTGTGTCTTGAAACCGGACTCGAGCGAGTGCAGGAACACAGAGTGCGGTAGATGTAGCGTGAGTCTACTACAGTATTCGCCGGCTATTAAGCCCACGGTTAATAAGCCCGCCGCTTATTAAGCC